AAACGCCTCAGCATGTCATGGTCCACCGTGTTGATTGCAGCTGTTATTCGATCTTTCAAGTCATTGATACTTGCTGGAAGTGCTGGAACATAAACTTGGTCTTTAACATACCTCCACAAGAAAAAGTCACACACAGTGAGGTCCGGGGATCTGGGCTGCTACAGAGAGCAAGGTCTTTAGCACCTCTCCTCCCAATCCATCGCTTAGGCAAGTTTTCATTCAGATAAGCTCTAACCCCAAGATGCCAATGGGTGGTGCTCCATCTTGCTGAAAAAATGAAGTCATTCGAATCTGCTTGCAAAAGTGAATAGCCATTTTTGGAGCATTTCGAGATAGGTTTGTCCTGTTTGTAGCTGCACCAGAAGTTATACTAACGACAGCGGTGAAACTGACAGCCAATCAAACTTTGATAAGTACTCTATCAAATAACCACTGATTCAGTCCACTGAAAAAAAAAACAGTGTAATGATTTTGGCGTATTCTTTTTGAAACACCCTGTATATTGGACCTGTATATAATGTATTTATGATAAAGAGAAAAAAAATTAATGACAATAGGAAATAACTGAATAAACTTTCACTTTATACCTGATATTTTCCAAAATGTTTGAGACATTTTCTATTGCATGTTGACCTAGTCTCTCATTGAAGGAGCCATCAGCAGTCACTCGTCATGCTTAGGCTGAATCTGTCTTGATACCTCATTGACGTCTCAGAAACATCCTGGTAGAATCTCTCACTTTGTTTACGGATTCATTGGAAAATATTGCAATGAAAACGCAACTAGTACATTGTACAAGAAATCCGGCATTTCAATTAGAACGTTGGTTATTATATCAAAATTATTTTCAGCGCTATGTACATGTATAACCAACTTAAATTTCATGCTACAAGCTTGTGTTGATACTAATATACTATTTGGCTTCAACATAAATATGTACATATCAATAAAGAGTATAGTTTCAAAATCAGTACTCGATAGTCTGCATTGTATTTAAGGCAAAGTCTTCACAATCACACAAAATCCTGAATAAACACTTAGAGTTGTTAGGCAAATGAATGACAAAGTGGAAAAAATTTTGTGTAATGTCACGTCCTTGAGGAAGAGGGGGAGATATAAAAGCATGAGTGTCAGTTATAATTGTGTACTGAAAGGAAACAGTGAAGATGTTGAAATTTTAAACTTTTAAATTTAATAAAAACAAAAGCAGAAGCAAACAATTGACTTGACTACATGCTCAAACACATTGGAAAAAGAAAAATTTAAGTTTGAAATTTCAGTATTTAAACCTCTTCAGGGTTTCCCTTCAGAACATAATTATGACCAAAGTTAGCATTTTTATACCCCCCCCACCTTCCTTTTAATGAAATATATCTGTTTGATGCTTTGCTGCACATCATCAGTGATGTTTTTTAGCTGAGGTTCATTAGGGCTTTTGGGTCTTAACATCATACCCTCTCTCTCTCCACGGTGACTCAGACGATACATTTGTGTTTCATCCATCAACTACAACTTTACTCCTTTTCAATCACTCACTGCGACTCCTCTTGGCAATTTATAGTCCAATCACAGATTATCTCTGGTTTACCACCAAATGTAAAAGCGGACTCTGAGGTCAACACCAAGTGGTAACATTCTGTTTCATGCAATCTTTAGATCCTGTCCTGAAGATTGCATGAAACAGACTGTTGCTGCTTGGTGTTGACCTCAATGTTCACTTTTATATTTACATATACTCTATATCTGCTAGATATGTGAAGATATTAATAATTGCATGAAATTTAATCATATATATATATATATATATATATATATGATTAAATTTTTTGAATTTGTAGGTCTGATGAATTGGATCGTGATTACAATTCCAATGTAATAAATTATAACCATGGAATATTAATGTTTGAGCCTTTTATATTATATATATATTCTTTATTTTATGATATTACATCAAAAAACATGTCAGAATTGCTACATAATAACTCATGTTTCAATATGCATCGAAACAACTGCAATTGTGTAGCAATTTTGATGTAATATCCAAAAACAAAGAATATTGCTCTACTTTGTATTGAGCCCTCTTTTATATTAAATGTTATGAATGTTGGGATTGTACTCTATTTGCTTTCATCTTACTGAAAGCCTGTAAATGTTCTGTCTACCCAATTTCACTCATAAGGCTTGGGTCAACTTGTGGTATGGTTTTCAGGCACTTTCCAAAGGTGCTGCATCCTGGGATCCCCCACCCTCCAGAGTGATAACATCAGGAAGTCTCCTTCCTGACAAGTCAACCGTGGTGAGATTTGAACATGGGTCTCATGCTCAGAAAGCGAACATTCTAACCACTTAGCCATGTGCCTATATATATATATATATATATATATATATATATATATATATATATATATATATATATATATATATATATATATATATATATATATATACACACACACAAACTCTATATAATAATGTTCAGATAACAGTTGTTATGTCATTAAATCAGCCAACCAACCTCTTTTTCATGAACTTGCTTATTAAGATGTTTCAGTCTGATAAGGGATGAAGAATGAATTGTCTGAAACATTGCGTTAATGATATTTATGTTTATGAATGGTTTTAATGTGTCCAATCAACTCAAAGATAATCTCACCCTAGTTGGACACCAGGCTGCATTGGTCATTCCAGTCAGGCTAGAAAATTAACATTTTATCTGGACTGGATTTAAACAATGATCATTGGGAAATATGCAGGTTATTTTTGAAGAGACATTTCAAGTGACCCTTTTTTTTGTTACTGGATTTTAATGTAATATAAAAGAACAAGTTTAAACAAAAAATAAACCAACATTATTTGCCAATAATGAAAGGTACGAAAACCTGCAAAACAATCATTTTTAATGTATTAAATACAACACCATAAGCAATAATGTTCGTTTGTATAATGTATGTATATAAGCACACAATTATTTGTTGTTATTTAGAATTATATTTAATTTTCAATAAAAAGGCATACATTAAATATATAAACAAATGCCAAATAAATTAACCCTTCTCTATTGTGATTTAAACCCCATACAATAATCCCTACATAAGTGCAGTTTTCCAGACCAATGTACTTTGAGTATGCTTACTTGAATAATTTCTAATTGGCATTTTGTAATTATTTTTACATGTTGCCCTTCAAATATGGCTGATAATACAAGGAACCTTTTTCTTTTTTTTAAAAAAAAAGGACATAATTTCTTTTAATCTTCAAGGTAAGCTGATTTTGGCCAATTGAAATCAAGATTCCAGACTGATCCATATGCCTCTAAAAATTGCACTACTTATTATAAATATACTTTTTTGATTTTTGTTTTCTTTTTCTGAACATTTTGGCAGGAAGCTGGACCTTCTCTTTTTACAACTCTAAATGTTGCAAGTGGAACTTGGAAAATTTTTACACTATTAGTTTACTAATGCATGTACTATTCAAATTATTTTTCTTTTTACAACTAAAATTAATTTTGTTTCACTAAATAATGTTGCATTTCATAAGTGTTTATATAAGTCTTTATTTAAGGGAGTTAAAATTAAGTAACATTCACTATATATATATATATATATATATATATATATACACACACACACACACACATCACAAATAGGTGGTGTTTTTTTTTTTTCTTAAATTGTTTGTAGCCCCCCCACCAACACCACAAAAAATAATTTCCCACTTTCAACATAACTTCATAACTTTTATTAAACCTGCCTGGTTCTCAGAATTCAAAATAAATTCTCTAAGAATTATTCAACAAGTATTTCATTTTTATTCATTTTGATTTTGGAAAAAAAAAAAGGAAACCCACAAACCTGGATAATTGGGTGAGATGCTTTTAAATCACAACCAGAGAAACAGTCTTGAAGAAAACAGAAATCCCATTTCTTTGGCTGGAACTGGTCATTGTTTCAAAGACATACATTAAGAACTGTAGAATGTGTTCAAAACAAACCAGACAATATCAGAAGTTTCTTTATTCAGACAAACACTCATTGTTAATGGCTTTGACTTTCTCATCACCATCACTTCTGTTATCACTTCATTGTCTAGTGCGCTTTTCAACCTTCCTCACATGTTCAAATCTTTTTTTCCCCCAAAAATCTCAAGATTTAAAGTAGGTGGGGAATTTAAAAAAAAAATGAAAAATAAAATATTTAAAATGCATTTTGCAGGCAATTAATTTAAAGAACAAATATTTTTATTGAATATAACAATACTTCACCTCAGACATCATTAAGCAAAATTATTTGTCAAAGGGAAACCAAAAATCAAAAAGAGAGAGACCAAGTCAGAGCTGGGTGGGGGGTAGTTTTCCTAGATTTTTAAATTACCATAACTAGTGTTGGTTCCACTATGCAGGTAACATGTGTTCCTGAAAATAATCATAATGGTTTTATACCATGAAGAGACAGGTCAGAGAAGAAGCAAATGTAAAAAATGAGTGTAACAGTCGGAATAAATAAACTTTCAATAATGATTCAAAAGTCCTTATTTCAATATGACCCTAAGATGACTCACGAAACACCTCTATTTTTTTTTTTTTTTTTTTAGAAAAAGGTCAAAGTGGGTATAAAGATTTAATTCTGTAGCATAGGAATATATAGTTAAATGCAATTAATCAAAAAATTTTTTATATATATATATATATATATATATATATATATATATATATATATATATATTGCATGATTATTTTTAAAATAAGTTTTTCTCGTCATAAAATTTTATTTTCAGTAAAACAGGATTTAACAATTTTTAATTTCTTTATATCAAAGAAATAGATTTTAATTTTTAAATTGTTTTTTGTATCTGTGAAAGAGCTTTCTACAACATAAAGAAAAAATTCATAAAGAAAAAATACGATATAAAGATAGCATGTGTTACAAACTTAATAAAAATATTTAAAAAAATCTTATTTAACTGGCCAGGCAAAACTGACACAGGCAAATATGGTGTATTTAATCCCAGCTTCCAAAACTGCCAAAGCTACCACAGCTACCAAAACTGCTCATGCTGCTGAGGGAACTCCAGCTTCCCCAGCGTCCAAGGCCCCAGCCACCGCCCCAACCACCACCCCAGCCTCCCATCATACTGGTAGCACCATGGGCAAGAAGAGCACCACCAGCCACACCTGCAAAAATAAAAGAAATGGCATTCAGGACAGAGTAAACAACCAATTTCAAAAGCCAATAATATATTTTTTTTTTCATTCTTTGTGCCATTCATCAGCCAAGCCCTGCCATTGAGTACAGTCGACATTAGACATGACGCTATGTATTTTTACAACATAATCCATTATAATACCATTGGTGTTATAAATCTGTTTTCTGCAATGGTATTGACTTTAAAGAGAAAGACATGTAACTGAATATCCACATTAAAAGCCTTTATTTATTTATGTACATTCAAGGAAGTAGTAAATGTTTACCAATTAACTAAACCCACTAGTACCACAGCTTACCAATAGAATAGATGACTTCCCAACATACTCTCCTTTAGAAAAATACTTTAACTGCTACTTTGAAGCTATGTAAACTGAAGCTGCATCTGGTCACAGCATAACAGCTGAAGTCTCATCTTCTGATGTATTTCCATTTGCTATTAATACATATTAATGAAAACTCTACATCCTAATAGCAAATGGAAAAACATTTGAAGACAGGAATGAGTAGAGAATCTATCAGATATAAAGCTATCCAATACTGGACTGAAAGCAGTTAGCTTTGGTTTAAAATTTCCTACCAGGATTCATAAAGGAGACTTAATTGATACAATAGTTAAAAATCATAGACAAAATAACAGAATCCACTAAAGGTTTCATTCAAGGAATATTTACTGCTACTCTAGAAACGAATAAAGAAAGAATTTTACCACAGAGACACTTAAATGTACTATAGAATACCATCCTAAAATACCCAAACTTTATGGTGTTCCTAAAACACACAAAGCAGGCATCCTAATTTACCCTATTATTTCAGGTATTGGCAGCACTCTCCACAAACTGATGAAAGCCATAAAAAAAATTTTAAATCCTCTCCTCAGAACAGTTAGCCCATCACATCTGAAAAAAAAATTAAGGTAACCTGGTTGAAAATTAAAGGGAACAAGTTGTAGCTAGTCTACATATAAAAATCCCTTTACACCAATGCCCCCCCAATTAATAAATGCTTAAATCTTTAAAAAAAAGAAAAAAAAAAGAATTTAATACAATAAAAAATAAACCGCTTTCTATCAATAGCTAAAATAATAAAAATTTACCATCTCATCACTAATCAATGCTATTTCACATGGAATATCAATGGGGCTGCCTCTAAGCAGGGTTGAATCTGGTCCTTTTCAAAATATCTTACCTAAACAACATACTTCAGATATATTGATGATGCTCTATTAATATACTGCCATGGAACTGATTTACCTGTTCTTGTAGATAAAATAAACAAAGTTGAACATATGATAGAATTTACTCATGAAATGGAAACAAACAATACTTTACCTTTCCTAGATATCATGTTACCCTGTGGTAGCAGTAGGTTAAAACATCAACTAATAAAAATGATCTCATAAATTTCTATTATCACCACAACAACAAATAAAATCTAGAATAATCAGTGCATTCTATTTAAGCACACTCAGAATTTGCCGCCCTCAGTATTTACAAGAGAAATACATTGAAAATACTTTCAAGTTCCTCTAATAGCCTATTTCATATTCAATGCAAGACAAAAGGCTCATAAAATGTTTTAGAATAGAAAAGCGTTCCTTCCTGACAAACACAATGAATCCGTTCTACCCACCAACTCTATCACAGCTACAATTGAAAAGAATTTATCTAAATTCAATATAAAATTTATCACAACTGCATCTAAACCAATAAAAGACTTAATGCAAAACAAAATAATAAGCTAAAACTTGAGGGAGGAATTTACTCTATTACCTGTAATAATTGTCACAAGGAATATATAGGAGAAACCTCAAGAAAATTAAATAAAAGATTATATGAACACAAAAGGAGTCTTTTACAAAACAAAAAGACTCAAAATGCATTAGTTAATCACCATCATGAGACAGACCACAATCTTGATTTAAAAAAATGTTACCCTAATTAAAAGAGAAAGCAATTCACTTAAACAAAAATATATGGAGAGTGATTTAATTGCCAGATAATCTGCAGTAAATTTGTGTCAAGGTTCTTACAATGATTCATTGGCAGATCTTCTGTTATCACAAATGTGGAATATTTAATAACAAAAGCGATGGAAACAAACAAAAATAAAAATGATCCAAATGAAATCAGCTAGATGATATACCCAAAACATATATATAAAAAAAAACATTTAAGTTTAAAATTTTTGTAGTGGCATCAAATGTAAACATCATTTTAGTCTTTGTCATTCTTTTTGCCCTGGAACTGTTTTTGATATATAAATTAAAAAAAAAAAAATTATATATTCCACTCTCTCTTGTGTGTGTGTGTGTGTGTGTGTGGTAGGTGGTTCCAAATATGCCTGCTTGCTAGGATATTCAGCTAATCCCTGTTGCAGATACCTGCTCAGGCACATTAGTCTTTCTTTAACACCCACAGAGCCAAGGTGTGGTTTATATTGCAGACTTTAGTTACAATTTCTAGGTGAGAGCACACAATATGGTGATGCCAGTAGTTGAACAAGATAGTACATTCAAATCTTCAGTCACAACCATCAACTTCTGGGTAGTTTTGTCTACCAATTTTATTCCCAAGGCTTGGCTCAACCCATGTTAAGGTCTTCAGACACATCCCAAAGATGCTACACATTGAGATTGTCTCATATTATCAAGAAGTCACCACCTTGCCAAATTGGCTCCATGGTGAGTTTCATCCCTAGAACATTAATTTATCTCATTTGTATCAAGTAAATAAATAAGAGAAAAGGCCAGGATTTACTGCCAACTATTTTCAAATATTACAAGAAAAATACTTACCCAAAGCAACTTCACCTATTCCACCCAATCCACTACTTTTCTTTTTCTCAACGTGAACAACTGTTGGTTGCTGTGTACCATAATAAGGTTGTTGAGGGTATTGGCCTGGATAAGCTGCATAACCAGGGGGAGGAGGAGGTACTTGACCATAAGCTAGAAAGAAATAAAATGTGAAATTGAAACGTAGCAGTAAAAATTCAAGAAATTATGAATAAAGAGGTTTATCATTTTTTAAAAACATTTTCAATGACAATACAGAAATTTTAACAGAATGTTGTTCATTTACGCACATGTAAGGATGTAGAAGGTACTTATCTCCCTTTTTACAGAAGAAACTTATTGATGTTCTAAGGAGCCTTTGAGGTCCCATGACAGCCTGTTGGTGAGAATAGTTCGGTTGCAGTTTACCTCCTAACAGACAGATGCGACAGTCAGTTGTGATTTGGCAAACAAAATAATATAAATAATAAACATAAAACAGAATCACCAGAGCTGTGTCCCTAATTTGGGAACATTAAAAGTAAAACCTTTTTATTTGTCCCTTCAAATACTGTGTGCTTTTACATGTTTTTTTTTTCAATTTCTCTGTGCAAGACAAATTGTGATGAGAGAACCGATGAAGTCCTGAAAGGACGAAATACATCACAAGTGAACTTTTTCCACTTTGTCATATTTTCCCAAATACAAATATCCCTATTCCTGGCAAGTCTTCTATTATCACAAATATTTAATAAAATAATTAATATTTAATAACAAAAATGATGGAAACAAACAAAAATAAAAAAAAAATCCAAATGAAATCAGCTTACCCAGAACACATATTAAGAAAATTATTTTAAATTTAAAATTCTCAACATCTCTTTCGTTCATGCACATGTGTAGTTACATCAACATAAACAGATGAAGTCCAAAGAGACGAAACACCATATGAGAAAACTTTTTCTGCTTTGTTATATGTCTTTCCACTAAAATTGTTCTTGATATAAAAAATTTATATGTTGTTTTCCCATATATAGTTATTGTGTTTACTTCCTTTTTTTATAGAAGAGCACACAATTCTGTAAACTGAAATTGTTCATGATTGGTATGAGCACAGGTATAGGTGATGGATGATACACAAGTCAATATCTGATCAGTAATGGCTGTGTCACCATTGAGTAGGGTATGATGTTGAAAGACCCAAAACATCTAATGCAGTGCTTCTCAAACTATATGATATGGTGGACTGGCATTTTTTTTTTCTCGATGTGTCATGTACCTGTAATATTTTGTAGCAATATTAATTTATACTGGAAACGATATATATATAATGAATATAATAAAAACTGACTATATTTTATCTTCCATTTATTTTGCAAAAAATAATTCAATATCAAAACATATAAAAAGTAATAAAAAAAAGAATAAGCAGTTTATTAACACAAAAACAAAAATTATATAACCTTAATCTTTGTTCGATCCTCACTGAGTGCCCCATATTTTTGGCCTTGTGCCACATCTAAGCTATGCTTGGAAAATAACTATAACCTTAATCTTTACAAATGATTCCTTAGTATGGCCTGGACACTGACTGCGTACCGTTAACTGATGGTTCGTGGATTGTCACCGGTCTGTGGATCACCACTTTGAGTAGCACTGCTCTAAAGATCCTCAGTTAAAAACATCACTGATGACATATACCAAAGCATCAAAACAAATTATTTCACAAAATATTATATATATATATATATATATATAAAATATATATATATAACACATAAGTGAATGTAATGGATCCTATCGGAATTCTAACTCAGCTCTATGATTCCTTAATATGAACCACTATCCATTACTCCACTGTGCATATATTATAGACAGCTAGCTAAAAGTCTTTCTTTTTCTTAACTCAAATAACTTGTTTGTTCAACAAAATTAGTTTATTGCTTATTTTGTGATTTCAAAACACACAATATTTTTTTTTTAAAAAAAAAAAAAAAAAAAAAAAAAAAAAAAATGATGATATAAAAAAATTTAATCAAGAAAGTGCCAATTAGTATAAATGACAAATGAAATGACAAATTGAATTTGAAAAAGATGCTGATTCTTCTGGAAAAACGAGGTGCTGTACAACTTTATTTTCACGGGGAACCCAAATATAACTCCAGCCTGCTATTTACCAATTCTCTGATAGTGTCAGGACACATTTTCATATGAGACGCTTACATGTGGGCCAAGGACATCTTGTGTTAAGCAGGCAACAGAATACTACTCCTCCCTTGAATCAGAATCTCCAAGATAAGGATCAACTTACATTATATGCCGCATTCTGCCTGAAGACAAGAACACTATAACATGTCTCACTTGGAGAATAAGGACACAGCTGAGGAAGAATAAATACTGCACTTCAATCTCAGCTTAAAGGAAAAGTAAGTACACTCTGATTTCTGGCAGAAGTGCTTATTCATATCCATACTTGAATACTTCAGTAATTCAGAGTAAAAAAAAAATATATATAAGTGAACATTGAAGTCAACACTCAGAGGTGACAAGCTGTTTCATGCTGGACGCAATTGTCAGGCCACCTGACAAGTGCATTCAGCATGAAACAGCCTGTCACCTCTGAGTGTTGACTTCAATGTTCACTTTTATATTTATATTTACATATATCTCTGATATTGAGCACTTTATCCCATAAATATAGCACACCATAAAACTATATTTCATATATATATATATATATATATATATATATATATGGGTTTATCAAAAATATTTTTACAAACTTTGGGGGCGGAACCAAAACAAGGACAAAAGTTCATATAAACATATGTCCACAAATCTTTCATTTTTGAGTTAAGTTTAAAGAAAGTTTACAGTAGATGGCACTGTGTTGCCATGTAGACTAAGTTACATTTGTTATTTGTGTACATTTGTGGCTAGTCTGTCTACAAAGTTTAATGTGTGTAGTAATGAATTAACTGAGAAGTGTTCTATTTAACAATGGCAAGATATTCATATTGTGAGCAGACAGATATGATTTTTACATATGGCCACACAAATAGTAATGGACGCGAGACAGCACGGGTGTATCAGATTGCATTTCCAGACCAAAAGGCAACTTAGTCATCCAACCTTTGCTGCTGTCAGAATCCTCATAGTACAATAGAGGCTAAAAACCAGCATCAGTTTACAATTAATGTGTGGGCTGGAATTGTAGTTGACTATCTGTTAGGTTCATATGTTCTCCCTGGATGTCTTACAGGAGCTGTCTACTTTATTTCGAACACACTCCCAGACCTGCTAGAGGATGTACCCCTGCTAATATGAAGATTTTTGTGGTTCATGAATGAGGGGGCTTCAGTACATTTTAGTCACATTGATCACAATGCACTGGCTGACATCTACCCTGAAAGATGGATAGGTAGGGGAGGACCGGCTCCATGGCCTGCATGTTCCCCCTGGCCTCAATCCCTTGGATTTTTATTTGTGGGACAACCTAAAACGATTGGTTCATGCAGCAGACATTAATAATGCAGTGACACTTTATCAATATGTCATGGGGGCCTGCAAAATCATGTGGGAGTATTTGAAAGGGCCTGCTGGTCAATGATCTGATGGGTGCATGAGTGCATAGAAGCAAGCAGAGCACATTTTGAACCTTTGTTATGAGTTGCTGTTAAAGTACAATGATGGCCTTTTGGACATATTTTATATGGACATTTTACTATGTTTTAGTGTCAAAAACCCACCCCAAAGTTTGTAAAAGAATTTTTGGATTGTATCTTGGATTGTACACTTAACAGTGTATTTAGGCAGCAAATGTTCTTTAAGGCAAATGTTATTAAAGATAACAGACGTTTTGTGTTGATAAATCTTATTGATCAACTTTTCCCAATTACAAATAACTCTTTTCAAATAAGGAGGAAATTCCATCAAAAATTGTCCACAGCTCATTTTGAAGAAATATGCTTATATATATATATATATATATATATATATATATATATATATATATATATATATATATAAGTGTGTGTGTAAATAAACAATTATTTACTTGAAATGTAATTCCAATTAAATGCAAGTTATTGTGGACTTTTGAATACAGTGCTCAATATCTGTCAGAGTTACATGTAGTGTAAAGGTTATGTTAATTGGATCTTATTAAAAACATGACAAACAACTAAAAAAAAAAAAAAATCCTCAGACACTTAAAATTAAGTCGCTTCCATTTTTCATCTGTATTTGTGAACAGCAACTACCATTATTATTACAAGCATGAAGAGTAGTGTGAAGCAGCCACCACCCAAGAAACACAAACATGCAGTTAAATATTGATAGAATTAAGTAAAATTAGATATAATTTTCCCATATACATTTTATTGTTTTATTCTATTTTTTTTTTTTTTTTACACTCTCAGTCAGAAGCTAACTTGATGAAGAAAATCTTTTTCACATATCTACATCTGTTATCTTTTTATTGAGAAAGTTTTTTTGATCTAGTAAATGTCATAATTCAGAATTTTTAGTTATGCTAGTCACATTTTTAATATAATCCAAATAAATGTAACATTTACACTATATAATATTACACTTTTTATAACTTACTTTATTCAAAAATGATTTTTGTTTCATGTTAGGAGAATCAGGCAGCAAGAACTGGAACTCTTTTTGACTTATGGAAGACTATACATCTATAACAAGTGATTATCACACAATTATAACTCTGTGCAAAGATAATCTCACCTGACCGTTGTTGATATGATGCTTGTGGGATACCATAACTAGGCTCTCTGCGAGCATAGCCATAATCATGGCGATCAAAGTCAGGACCAGAGGAGAAGCCATAACTTGGCCCTTTCAGTGGAAAAGGGAAACAATGCAATAGAAAAAGAAGAAAGTTCAATTGGACGATCATAGAATTGTGATCTCTATCAGTTTAAGGACACCAGGTGCTGAACAAAATAACAAACAAAAGGAATTGAGTGGAATAAATAGACCAATAGAAAATAGTTGCATCAATTGAGTGTAAGCAGGAAGGAGGAGGAGCTAGATTAACTGGCCAATCAAATGCTGAGATAATGAAATGACAACACAAGATTTGACTACTCTGCATCTGATTAATCAAAGAATGGAATTACAAACTCAAGTGCAAAAAGTGAGTAGCTCTTTAAAACCAATCAGCTGCTAAAAATGCAGGATGTTTAGACAAATAGATTGATTAACCAAAATGCAAAAAGTAAAAAGGAACAATTAAGACGAGATAATTATCAAGAACAAGGAAGGAATGGAGATAAACCAAAACTAACAAAATAGAGCAAATAAAAAAGACAGCAGGGAAAAAAATCTACTAATTATGACTAAATTGATTAGTCATTTATTTTCAAGCAAACACTGGAATTGAGTAGCAGAAGTATGTTGAGAATTTACTTACGCTGTTGAGGATAATATGGTTGCTGCGGATATCCTGGCTGCTGTGGATATGGCTGTTGTGGATAAGGTTGCTGAGGATATGGTTGTTGTGGGTAGGGAGCCTGCTGGGGGTAAGGTGCAGCATGATGTGCATATGGTGGTGGTGGGACTTGCTGTGTGTAAGGTGGGGGTGCTGTTGCATTTAGTGCACCTAGAAGAATATAAATTGAGTAAATTAGACAAAAGGCAAAACAAAATTTTAAAAATATCAAAAATAAAACATACACACAAAGCATAAAGCCTCAATGAGCAGGAGGGAAAACAGTGTGGCATCAATTTTCCAAGTCAGGATGACCTAGCCCGTCTTAAAATCCAGAGCTGGTATCAGTGAGAAATAAAAATTCTTGACCCAGATTAGGTAAAATTTTTTTCTTTAGTATTTCATTTCAGAGATGAGGAATTATTAATATACTTGAATTATTTTAAATTATTTTTTGCATCTTGGTAGATATGGATGTTATTATTGACATGTTTCGACCCAGTACCTTTTGGCCATCATCAGGTGTCCATTGATTGGGTAAAAATCTGATGATTGGTCATTTGGTCAGATTTACATTACTGAGTCAGAATGAGAAGTTGTCAACACTGTCTTGTATAAATTTCATATATTCATTACTCAGTAACAGAGAGAGTGACTTGAGTAATGTAAAATGTTGACAAATAAAGTTATTATTTCATCATTTGTAAACAGACAAAATAATTCAACTTCAGGAAGGTTATCAGGCACATCCATGGGGCCAGTAGCGTCCATAAAATTAGTCAGCCATGTATGATAATAGCTGCTCCTAGTGGTCATCATAGCTTTCCTCCCCGTCACTAGTGTCATTATCATTTTTATCTGCGACCACTTCACCATCAACATCCTCTTGAGGAAAGCCTTCAAAATCATCATCAGAGTCCGGATCAAAGAAAAAGTCCTGAATAAAGGCTTCATTGAATGCAGATGTGGTCATTTTTGTTTACAAAAAATTGTGACAAACGAAAGTTTAGCTTCGTTCCAAAGCAGTAGTAGGCTATTTCCAACTTAAAATACTGGAAATAACAGTTGACAAATGTGTATTTTTAGCAACCCTCTTGCAGTTTATAATATTTAAATTACTGACAATAAATTGTTTTGTGAGTGTCATCATTTTATTATGCAAAGTGCAACAAGTTTTTTTTTTATTTATAAATAAACTCAAAATATATAAGCTATAGAAATATATATTTCATTAACACAATATCCAAGATAATTGAATAAATTATTATTTTAGTATTTTATATATTAATATTGGCTCCTTGACATTCTATAACCTTCATTAATCTTTCAATCATTGACTTTATTAACATTTTTGACTTTAACATTACTTACTGTAATCTCTATTGCTTCCACAAGATCTTTGCTTTAATATTGTTTTCCATTCCCATATAGATCTCTTTTAATAATAGAACACAAGTTCTCTATTAGATTGAAGAGGCTAATACCAATTCTTTTAATTTAGTGCCTTTTAATTTTTTTTTTCTGCCAAGGTGAGTAATAGTCAATTTTATATAATGTGAAGGAACACTGTCTGGTATGAATATACTTATTAGCATAAAAATTCTTCATTGTGATGTCTACCATTTAAAAATGTTTTTACTAAGAACCTGCAATAATTCTCTGAATTCATCTTGCTATCATCAACTTTGAAGTGACCTATACTGCCTACAAAACTAACCCAAAATATTACTCTACATCCCCACTGTTGTCTTCTAAACTATGTTGGTTGTCTATTTCCATGATGGACCCAGCCACCAAGTTCATCCAATGTAGGTTTACATTCAGTATCTGTCTATATTTCTGAGATGAGGTATTATGTACACTATTTACATTATTCAGACTATTGTCCTCATCTTTGTTGCCATATTTATTACAAAGAAAATAAAAGGATCTGTGGTCCATATAACATCAGGACAACCTTCAAAAGCTGGATGACACTTTACAGATATCTCTCCCCAGTAAGACCCCCCCCACTAGAGGAGAACATGACTAAAGGCTGTGTTTATGCTATCCCGTGCAGCTGCGGAAAGAAATATAAAGGGGAGACAGGCCATCCCCTTAAGCTAAGGCTTCAAGAACACCAGAAAGCTGTAACACGAGGGGAAGTGGGAAAATCAGGTATGGTTGACCACATATGGAGAGAAAAGGACCACTGCCCTCTGTGGGATCAGGTTGAGATCATAGACAAAAAATACCATTGGAAAATTCATAAACTTAAGGGATCAGCACATATGCCAGGCCACAAAAATCTCCTGAGCCGACCAAGCATAGAAATGAACACAATATGGTAAAAAATTGTAATATGTGCTCTGGTAAAAAATGATTGCTGTAGACATTAGGTTTATAATAACCAGAAATTCATACACAGATGTCCTCAAGGACACATGGCACAGTGAATAAAAGTGTTGGTTAGATCTAGTGACAGGACCCAAAGCAGCTCACAAATTCCAGCACTGCAATCTGTCACATTAGACACCTCCCCCACTGTCTATTGTCCTGTCTATTTATCTGCCTCAGAGCCCATACAGCTTTTTATACATCCAGACACATGAATCAAACCATGTGTCCCACATCATGCTTAAACCATGTTTTCTGCATTCCATAGAATGTGAATTTGATCCAGGTAGGCAAGATACAACTTGGTTCTCCTCCTCTGCAGAACATGTAAGTTATTATTCCCACCCCAACATTTTTTTCTTGTTTATATCTTGCCAATATTTTGTATTTTTCTCTGATCAGCCCTTTTGTAATATTCCAAATTTGTATTCGTATTGCGCAATATATTTACAGTATCAGATTTCTCTTGGGGTTATATCCTATGATCCATGGAAAACTTTCAATAGCTGAAATTAAAAAATAAATAACAACTATATTATTATAAGACTGAAATTATTTATACTTTTTGCAAAATATGAGATTTTCCTCTGTTGAGAAATAATGAATATTTCAAATGCTCCCTTTTGTTTAATTTCAATCCTGAAGCCTTTTTACATTCATTTTAAAGGAAGTGGAGAACTCTCTAATGTAAGGGAGAAAACTCAAACCTCTTTCTGTATCATTCATTTCTGCCCTATAAGATATGGATAATAATACTTCAATAAAATTTAGGTTTTCTCTATATAGCTCATGTATTTTTCTTTTACTGTTCTTATATATATATATATATATATATATATATATATATATATATATATATTGTTAGTTTGGGTTTAAAAAATACATCCTTTTAATGGAAATATTTTTAAAAAATCAAGTTTTGTAGGTTCAACTGTATATTTATTTATGTGATTGGCAGCCCTAAAATTACATATAAAACCTCCCACCATCAATATTGTAAATATTTCTTTTAAGAGTTGTGGTCATAGCTTGTCGGGTTGTAGTGGTAAGTCAACATATTATAATGACAAAAAGTATATAGGAAGGGAGACTGATACAAGAGATCTACAACGTAACAAGTTTATTTACCAACTGAATTTATAGCAAAAAAATATATAAATAAAATAAATAAAGAAGTATTAAATTATCTCTTTTTAGAGAGTTCCTGAGAAAGGAAGATAACTATATCCAAGGTTTACTGTAATAATTTCTTTTAAGACACATATTTGAAATTCATCTAGTATATTTATTTGTCAATACCAACTTTATTGTGGAACTATTCATGGTCATCATAAAATCCAATGGTGTAATAATTCTATAAGGGATGAATTTATTATTTAATAAATAGAAAAAACAACTCCCATTTTACGCACAGTAGAAACTTAATATATTAATATTCAACATCAATACATCTAGAAAATTTTCCCATCATCAATTGGTCAATACCAGTTTTATTGCTAAAACATTAACTTGCATAATAAAATCTGATCAGCATTTAAATGTTGGGTCTAAATTGGTTACCATATTGTTCATAGCCATACCAGATATTTGTCAGTAAAAATAAATTTCAAATTAGCTGAAATTTAAAATTAACATGAGTCCATTATTGCATAAGTCATTTGTTTTGATCAAAAGAAATTTCTCATGTGAAAAAATATTTTGTATCTTCAGATTTTAAAATGTAACTATCAAGTTGGAACCTGAGGTGGGCTGGAGAACATATCAGCCAAACAATAATGATGATGATACTCATTTAAATAATACAATGCCTTATCTAAGCATTTGCTTACTGATACAATACATTCTTAGTATATTTATCATGTAGACAAACAACAAGATTTAAGGTGTTTATTCTGCTTGTGAAATTTTACTCAAGATTTTTCATAGGATTAGGACAAGGACTTGCAACTACATCATTATTCAAAGTTTTCCCTTTTTCTACTTATGTTCAATTGTCTTCAGACATTGAAGTAAATATATTCATCTAATAAGAAACTGAACTAAGTTCTTTAGATAGAAAAGAGGAACCCCTGTCGGAGTGGATGTAGGAAGGAGTTACGAACATGGTAAAAATCTGAGTTAAGCATTTAATTACCACATTAGTTATCATATTGGGCCAAGCAAAAGGAAACCAAGAATACTCATTTATTACCATTGAAATATAACGGTTCTGCTAGTTAAGAGGTCCCTAAAAATCTATTCTGATTCTTTCCATTGGTTGTGTAGTCTTTATCAGGTGAACTTTTTCAGGTTGGTAGAAACATGGTTTCCATTTTGAACAAACAGGACAGTCAGCACATACTTTTTTTTTTATATCTTCCATAGAATACGGTATATTCCTGACTTTGACAGTGGGCTAACCTGATTCTAAAAATCTGATCAGTATAAAAATATAAAGGCCTTAATTGATTACCATACTGGATGTTTGTAAAAATAAATTTCAAATTAGCTGAACAATTTTTCTGAATTAAAATATGCATGGATTGCCACTAACATGACTAATGCATAAAACGTTGGTATGTCGCAAGAGGGGAATTAACAAGCAATAACTGACATCCATTAAACATGGCAAGTGGAACTGGAACAGTCTACTTCAATGAGCAAAATAAAGGGTTCAGTTTGACATTCCAACCACCTGAAGAAGGCCAGAGCGTACAACGGCCGAAACGTTGTAATAAATATGGCGATAAAGATGAGGACAATAGTCTGAATAATGTAAATAATGTAAATGTCTCTAATCTTCATTTTCTTATCAACTTCTTTCAAAAGATAGGATGTGGAAATCATATTCTTACAAGCAATTGAAATCAAACTCCAACAGAGAAAAACTAGATTTTTAAAGTATGCCTTGCATAACCCATTGTAGTGGGGCAGCAGCAAGGGTATCTCTCTTCAGAACTGTCCTCTCAGACTGGTTGTACTATCAAGGCTTAGTGTGCCCTACTATTTTGCCCAAAGCTAGATGTGAAGGTGAAGAGGAATTGGATTCTTTCTCAACGACATTATTACAAAGTATTTTCAAAAAGCGTTTCATTTAGAATTTAAATCTTTTCTTTTTGAACGAACAAAAATTACAACTACAGAATTTTGTTCTGAGAAGTTGACAAATTACAAAACAATGATTTTTACTCACACTGCACTATAAAACTATCCATTTTACACTGACGAAGCAGAAAGTTTCTTAACCTCAGTTTTGATACAATAATTTTTCAGCAGAATATATGGAAAAGAAAATACTTGGATTGAGTTTACCTGCTGCATAACCTGGAGGTGGTGGAGCTCCTGCATATGGCATCTGGGGACATGAAGGTTGAGCTGGTGGACCCCCAGATTTTCGAGGGGCTGGTGGGAGCTATAAGAAAACGTTTGAATTTTTTTTACTTTAATATTTACTTGTGAAAAAACAGCAAGATAATTTTCAAAGTTTTACAGAAGCCATTTGTCACAAAGTTGTTGCATGCTTTAGAAGAGACTAAAACAATGAATCAGGAATTGATATCAATAGTTTACGAAATTATTTCAACACAGAAAATTAACATTTTGTGACATAATAGAACTGTACACCAAAGCCAACCGTCTTCTATGTGAATGTTTCTTCAGAAATGTGGACAATTGTGGTTTTCTACAACTTCCTGTTCTTTGTGTCTTTTTGCTATCTCTCCTAATCCCTGTTCTGCCCTCCAATTACAAAAGCTCATTCAGGAGCCGATTTATTTATTTCCTCTGTCTTTCTCATTTTCCAGTGAGTGTCAAATTCTCCAAAACCGCTTTCCTCATTATGTGACCTAGAAATTTCAATTGTCTGTTTCTGATTCCAAGTGTCCTTTTTGTTTCCATTTTCCATAAAATTACATTGTTGCTCCCATGTTTAGTCCATGGGTGTTGTAGAGTAGTTTCACAGTGGAGGCTTGTATTTCACTAAGTCGGTTCTAAAATAGGTTCGACGTACAAAACGTTAGGAACTTGATATAATAGGTAATGACGCAGAGAAATCTCGACTGACTGACCAACTCACTGAGCGACTTAGTGACTGCTACTACTCCTATTTATTATAGGTGGGAGAGTCTATTAACAATAGAATAGGTATGTTCCATTATAACAATGGGATTCTCAGCATACTTCTGTAGAATCACATTTCTGTTGTCTAAAGTCTTTTTTCATCAGTGATGAGATTGTCCAGCATTCATTACCATATAGGTGGATTCATATTAGATAACAGTTCAGTACTCTTTTCTTTGTTTCTAATGAAATTTTCCTGCTTCTTAATACTTTGCTTAGCTTCTTTCTTCTTACAATTGATGGTTAATCTTTTCTTCTCCTTTTCCTTTACTACCTTCTGTAGTTCCTGTTATTTCCTTTCTTTGCTATCAGTTCTGTTTTAAGATTGTGGCTGCCAATAATGAAAATTGGTAGGACTAATTAGAATTACCTCACTGTAGAGGTTAAATAAATCCTGTGAGAAGACATATCCTTGTTTTATGGCCCTTTTTTGTGTACTTATTGAAGTCATGCTGCCAGTACATGTTCTGAATTATTCTAATATCCTTCCCAAATAAATCAAGCTTACCTAGCAGTTCAAGTTCTTTGTGACGTACTTTATCAAATACTTTTGCATAATCTATAAAATATAGGTATACATCCTTCTGAATTTGTATTGCTCATTCTGAGCAGAAACATTGCATTCTTTGTTCCAGTGTCTTAAACAAAACTTCACTGTTCTTGTCCTATTTCTGATCTAATTCTGGTATGCACACTATTCATCAGAATTCAAATAAGTTTTGTTATGTGTCTCATTAAACTGATTTTTCACATTTGTTTGCACCTGGCTTCTTAGGTAGTGCTATGAAAATAAACCTCCTTAGGTCTTCTAATATATCACCACTGTCATATAGATTTAAATTTCTTATTTCTATGCCAAAATCCTCTAAGGCTGCCAGCATCTCTATTACAATTCCATCTGGTCCTGCTGCTTTGTTTCTGTTCAATTTGGCCAGTGTTGATTTCACTACATATTTTAATATTTCTGGCCCTTCCATATTTTTGTGCCATTTCTTTTTTGCTTGTTTGCATATTCCATACCATACTTTGGTTTTGTTTGCTGTCTCTTTTTCATCAAGTTATAAATGTCATCCATTTCTTTTTTTCCTTGTCTAGTTTTCTTTGGGATAATTTCATTTAGGCTTCCTTTAATATGCCCCCCCCTTTGAATTTCCATTCTCATTTATCTCATTGTATTTGCTTTTAACACTGTCAGCATACATCTTTTAGCAATTTGGCTTGTTCAGGAGTTTGTCATATTGGAATTTAGGTGCTCTTTTGTCCCTCTTCCACTTACGTAGTTTCACTCTAAGGTTACATATATCAATGGAAGGTGGTCACTCTCACAATTGGCACTTGGTGATGTTTTACAAGATAAAACTGCATTCTGTTATGTAGTTGATTTGGTTCTTAGATTATCTTCCTGGGTTTCTGCATCTCCATAAACATTTTAGATATTTTTGAAACCAGGTTTTGGCTATTATCTAGTCATTTGCTGTCTACCAATGGGCCTTTATGGGTTCCTAGTCCAAACTTGCTATCTATTTCACCATCTTTCTTTTTCCTACTTTGGCATTCATCTCTTCAATGATTAAAATTTCCTGCATCTGCATCTTGCCTTGGTGTTGTATTTCACTTTTTTTGTGTTTTCTTTTTACTTCAATTTAAACATTATTAACAATTTTAACAAATTCTTTTTTTCATAGACATAATCTGGTACCTTTTTAAAAAAATTGGTTGGGTGTATGTTTATCTGAGATACCTCCTGGATTCAGAATGCTTACACCAAATATTTTCTGTAATCCCTAAATATGTGTGTGTGTGTGTGTATATATATATATATATATATATATATATTAAAGCACAAAATGAAATAAACATTTTTCCCAACATATTATTTCCAAAGAAATGGAACAATAACAAAACAATGAAATCTTGTATGTCATAATGAAAAAAAAAATTTTTGGTTAGAAAAAATACGGTGTGTGTGTGTATATATATATATATATATATATATATATATATATATATATAAGACAGTAATGGTTTTGTATATTTTCATAATTGATGAAGAAAAGAGAAATGATGACTTACCACACTGACAATAGCACTCATCCAGTCACTGTGTGTGCAGAAAAAAAAAGGAATTAGAAGTAAATATCTCTGAATTAAACACAAAAAAAAAACTTTTCCAGTAAAACAATTTCCCAAACTTAAGAACAAAGAAAAAAAAAGAAAATGATTGAATGTTAAACTAATTCATTTTCTCAAAATGAAATGCTTTAGGTTTGGGATTTGGGTGAGGGGTGAAAACTAATTAAAATAATGAAACCTCACAAAACTGGTTTGAACAAAAGACTCACACAATATCTAACAATAAATTTTCATACAAAGTCATCAGCAATTCTGAGATGAGTCATTATCATTTCAAGACTAACGGAAAAATAAACAGATCACCCCCACCAACAGCACCCCACATTATTGTGCATCTGTAAAAGGCAATAGAGTGAATTGACTGAAATATTGTTGTTTCCAACAAAGTGGATTAACAATGTAAAAAAAAAACTCTTGGAAAGTCATCAGGATTTTAAAATATCAGTGTTTTCGCAAATTAAGACAGAAATCTAACACATTTTTGAAACATTTTGTTTACTGAAGTAAATACATCAATTGGCATTATTCATTTTTCACTTTTATTTCTTTCATTTTAATTTCACTTACATTTCATCTCAAACTGTCAAAAATTAATAACAGCAGACATTTATTATTATTATAATAATAATAAAATGTAAAATATCTTTATTGTCAAGTGAGATTGTTGTTCCCCAGGTATACAAGATCTGTCCGGAAAATATCCAACTGTATTGAACATCTCCAGAACTAGTTACATAGATTTGAACTTGGCAATCAATCAGAGGGGACCTTCCTGCACATGTGTAAAAACTCTCCTATTGTGAGATACCAATGGGTGCAATGTGCAACTATCATATTCCCATGCACTGTCTTTTGGCAAAAGATTGTAACACCCAGATCTGTCAGTCCTCACCCTATCTCTCTTATACCATTGTAGATCATTGTATTTGCTTCTAACACTGTCAGCATACCATCTCTTAGCAATTTGGCTTGTTCAGGAGTTTATCATATTGCAATTTAGGTGCTACTTTGTCCCTCTTCCACTTACGTAGTTTCACTCTAAGGTTACATATATCACTGGAAGATTGTCACTCTCACAATTGGCACTTGGGTATGTTTTACAGGATAAAACTGCATTCTGTTATATTTTATATATATATATATATATATAATAAAATTTTAAATGAATATACCATATACTCATGTATCAAGCGACTTTTGAAGACCTAATTTTGAAGCTACTTTTAAGGAGGTCACATCATACATGACATATAAAATTACCATATGTACTGCTTACCCTGGCTACACCAATGATCAAACTATATATCTATTTACTGTAGTTAAATTAGCTTCAAAATTAGATCTCCAAAGGTCGCATGATACACAAGCATATATGGTAAATCACAAAATCAGCATGAACCAGTTCCACTATTCTGAATATAATTATAGATTAATATAAAATTGGATTCTTCTTCTAAGTGCTATGTCCCTTCAGGACATTGGTGATCATGGCTCTCCACAATTTCCTGTTCTTTGTAGCTCTTAGTAAAATTTGTCTTCTTTTTGCTATCTCTGCTAATCCCTGTTCTGCCAAACATTTACACAAGTTTGTTAGCTAGATTATGCACTACTTTCCTCTGGCCTTTTTGGCTTCAATATATCATGTGAGTGTCAAATTTTCTTTGTCCACTTTCCTCATTATGAGCCCTAGAAATTTCTATTGTCTCTGTCTAATGCTAAGTGTCCTTTTTGTTTCTATTCTCTCTTAAACTGTCATTGCTCACATGTTCAGTCCATGGTATTCTCAGCATCCTGCTGTAGAACCACATTTCTGTTGACTCAAGTCATTTGGTCATCTGTGAGGAAATTGTCCAGCATTCACTGCCATATATGAGGACTGATGTTACATAAGAGTTCAGTATTCTTTGCTTTGTTTCTAATTAAATTTTCCTGTTTCTTAATAATTTGCTTAGCTTTGGAAAAGCTTCTTTCACTATCCTGATGTACTTCAGATTTAATTGTCACATTTTCTGTCCTCTGTTAAACACATTTTAGATATTTAAATTTTTGTACTTGCTGGATTTTAAACATCTCCAATTTGTAATTTGCATGTTGGGCTTTCCCTTTTGCTGATGACCATACATTCTATTTTCTTAGAATTATGTTTAGCACTTTCTTTTTGCTTTATCCAATACATTCTGTAGTATTTCCTGTAGTTCCTTTCTGTGTCAGCCGTATATCTTAAGATTGTGGCTGCCAATAATGAATCCTGGTAGGACTTCTAATTCTTACTCAGGACTTTAGCTTCACTTTGGAATTGTTCAGTGGTTTTCTTTTTCTTTTACAAGTCAAGATATTTTTATGCATGCTTGCACTTACCCATTACTCCACGTTTTTTATTCATTAAAACATCCTGACTTTTTAAATGTTGCAATTGCCAATGATTCATCTTGGAAATACCCCAACCTCATTCTCTAGCTGGTAGACTTTTTCATCATTTTCCATTCTATTGAGAAATGTTTTTATTTTATTTGATGTCCCAAATGCATCTTGATGATTGCTGTCTAAATTTCTGGGGGTGAGGAGTTATCATTATTTATATGAATTACATGCAGACTATTATCCTCATCTTTGCTGTTTTTGTTATCACAACGTTTCAGCCATTGTGTCCTTTGGCCTTCATCAGGTGTATGTTCATCAGGGTAACCTACAGAGAATTTAAAACTGAAACCCTTATTGCAGATTGTTTTCATTCCACCGCTAATTTGACAATAGTCTAGTTTGGCGTTTCTCAACTGGTGCACCCAGACCAACTAATGTTACCTGAAAGATAGCAAGTTAGCAGAAAAGTAATTTATTAATCTTTATTTTTAAAAAGCTAAACACCCCATGTATATGGCTTCCATATCTAAGTCAAGTCTTTGTCATTTGATATTTTAAAATGGATGTTAATTTCAAATTTCATGACTAATTTTTCATTATTAAAATTTAAAGTGCATTTCAAAATTTTAGTTATTCTACAAGTGCACCCTGAAGTAAAATCATCCTGGGTATGACGATAAATTACATCTGTGTCCTGGGTAAGACGATAAACTACATCCAACAGCAAGGCCTCTGTTCAGGAGGTTTTGAGGAGCATGGAACCACACTCTTAATTGCTGGTATTCCCAGGTTTCTTGTAAAAACGAACATTTTGTGTAAAATTCACTAAAATTTAATTTAGGAATCTTGGTCTTATCACTTGGAAGTTTAATATTCTTCTCTATGGAATTTTTATTCATAAAAGAAAATACACTTATGATAAACTTCAATTTTTTTTTTGCATAAACTGTATTTCTAACAGGTAAAAAAATATCAAGAATTTTTATCACAATTCTTATACTGTAACTTTTTACCTCACAAAATTAAAAAATATACTATGATGGAAAAATCTGTAATTTTACTTGACTTAAAAAAATAATTTATTAATCTGATTTTTTTTTAGTTTTTCTTCTTACAAATGTGTTATAGTGGAACACACCTATTCTATAGTTAATAGACTCTCCCACCTATAATAAGTAGTAGTAGTAGTAAGAGTAACGAGTGAGGGAGCTGGTCAGTCAGTCGATGTCGGACGACAGTTAGTTGAATACTAAAGTATCAGCGACCACAACTAGATTACTCTGCATTATACCTATTATATCAAGTTCCTAACGTTTTGTACGTTGAACCTATTTTAGGACCGGCTTAGTACAAATACAAGCCTCCACTGTGAAATCACTCCACAACAAAATGTTATTAAGACTTTCAAGAAAGTTAATTTTAATAATGTTTTGCTTTATTTAAAAAGACTTTTCTTCCCTGATTCTGTTTTTACATTGCAAAATTTACTTAAAAATGCCATTCATTTTACATAATGTTAATATTTTTCTCTAGGATAATGTTATTCATAAGTATATTGATAAAATTTAATTTTTATGAGCAATTTGTTTTTATTTCTAAAAAGGTATTTAAAAATGTATGTTGAATTTTAGTTTATCATTAAAAAACATAAAATAGAAGAAAATATAATATTAATATATTAATATTAACAAAAAAAATAATTTATTAAGAATGTTAACTTTTCTCCAAACATTTTGAAACAGGTCTCCAGTTCTGGCACCATGACTAAGCCTATAACATAAAATACCATAAAAAGAGGAAATTCAAATTCAACAAGTGATCACCAACAGCTTCGGTAACCACCACAAATTAATACAGCATGTGTAGGAATTTTAAATGGTCTCTTAAAAGGGGGTTTTAAAATATCAGCTGATAAACTTATCAAACATACCTAAGTTCATTGTCATTTGAGAAAAGGAACCAGATGATCTTTGCTTTACTGCTTGGTTTCACAGGAATGGCAAGCAAATGTTCAAGTCTGGAAGAGGCAGGGATGTCTGGACGGTCAGGCATACCATTTGTATATTGACCTACAGCAAACCATTTTCCTACATCCTGAAAATAAAAGAAAGTAATCTGTTACGAAAGAGGAAGTAATGTTTTCAGATTTTTTTTTCTGATAACTTTTGCCATCATCCCAAATAAGATGCAGCCTACACTTGAATTTATCTATTAAAAAATAGTATTTTAGGTTAGGCACTAACTTTGTTCTACAACTTTTTCAACTTGAAGTAAAATATAGCAAAAATACAACATAAAAGTAAATAAAAAAGGAGAACAAATGTTAAATTATTTAAATCATTTACATACGGATTTTTTTTTTTTTACTAATGTTCACTCAGTACAAGGCCCAAGAGCCACTCAAAGTAGAGAGTTACTGTATGGTGGTGTATGAGTACAAAAAAGGCAAGAAGTGAAGTTTATGGGATTCTGCAGGAAAGATAACAGTTAACCCTAAACTTGAAGAGGTCAAAATTGGAAAACATCCTGCCGAGAGTCTATTCCACAAGACAGGAGTTCTTAGGAAGAAATTGTCTGAATGAAACTTCTTTCTTACTAATGGAATATGAAGAGAATGGTGATGATTCACATTTGTGTATGTGGTACAGCGGGTCCCAGTAGCAAAGGTCAGTGGTGATGGGACCAAGGAATGTAGCTTATCAGAACATGACATTGAAATAACAACTGAACAGGGAGAGGCTTGTGACATTTTATTTGTGGGAAAGAGAGTTGTAAGGTGGGAACTAATTTATCACCCACAATGGCAGATTGACACTTTTTGGATTCACCTTTTGAATCAAGACTGGTAAGAAAAGACTGGGTAGATCCAGCCCAAATATGGCAGCAATACCCCATATACTTGTAAAGATAGAGTAAAGCAGAGGGAGTCAGATACTTAGTGGAATGGAACAGCAAACTAAAAATTTTCCACCATCTTTACCAGTAGATTGGATATATAAGTTCCACGTGAGGTCTGGAGAGAGTTTGTATCCCAATAGACAATCAAGGCAAGTAGCCTCCTTGAGAGTGGACCCATGTATCATTCTACCATCTTTAGCAATAGATTGGATATATGAATTCCACTTGAGGTCTGGGGAGAGTTTGGATCTCCATAAACAATCAAGGCAAGGAGCCTCCTTGAGAGACGACCCATGAAACATTCTACAATCTTTAGCAATAGATTGGATATATGAGTTTCACTTAAGGTCTGGGGAGAGTTTGCATCCCAATAATCAAGACAAGTGGCCATCTTGAGAGAGGACCCATGCATCATTCTGCCATCTTTACCAATAGATCAGATAATTGTGATAAAAAAAAAAAAAGGCAACAAAAATAAGATGGGAGAAAACTACTCAAAAATTAAGAATAATTGACAATACAGGTTGAGTCTCCTTTATCTGAATTTCCCAAATCTGAAAGTTTTTCAGGTGCTGACATGACTTGCCACAAATGGAAATTTTTCTGTAAGGGCTGGGAAGCTTCCTAGGTAATGTGCAGCTGTTTTAAGTAATCTTATCTGCCTTGGATAAGGTTTCCCCAGATTAGTGTTCTATGGTAGACAAATCAATATATTTGTAAGAATTTAAGTGTTGTCTATTACTAGTAAGCATCCTTTTATCTCATGAGATAAAGGTAGTTCCCAGTTTGGTCAAAATAGAGGCCTTCTGTGGTGAGACTGGAGTGACAGCTGTAGGGTACAGGCCTGATCAATGGTATATGAAGACCATGCACTGCCCACATACCACCATACCTAGGGTGGACTGACCAGATCCAAAAGAATACAGGTCATTACATTTGCAGGTGGTTTATCTTCAGGTGTTGCCAGAAGATTGTCAGTGTTTACCTTCCCATAAATTGACTGCTTTCTGGGCTAGTTATGAAGCACCAGTGGTCTGCTTTCACTCCTTCTCTGGTTTGGAGCTGGACTTAGTCATCAGAGGCTATTTGAGATGCATACTATGGAAGTGGGAACTTTTCTCCACTAACACTCCTGGTTATGACAACCTTTGGAAGAGATATAATGTACATATACAAACATTATACGTTTTAGAAGCTCCCAGGAAATGTTTATATATATATATATATATATATATATATATATATAATTAGAAATAAGAATAAACAGCTTCCAAAAGAATCTGCTTAAGATTGTACACAGGAAAAAAGAGTGTTCAATACCACAATAAATGGCAGAGCTTTTATATATATATATATATATATATATATATCTTGGGAGGCACGGTGGGGTAATGGATATCGGCTTGGATTGTGGAATCGCAGAGTCGAGTTCGAATCCAGGTTGAATCCATTACGTTCACTTACGTGCTAATACTCTTGGGAAAGGTGTGAATCCTATTCTTCTCCCTCCAGCTATGGGTTAAATATGGGACAGACTGGGTTCTATAGCCTTGGATGGCAACTGGTCTAGGAGAAGGACAACTCTGAATTCAAAACCTGAGGGGGTTGTTTGGGGACCTTATGGCACGCAGTGCACCAGGTCTCTGTATTCGGCCCTTCAAAAAGTGTGGATGGTCCTGCACGAAACCTTCACCACTATAATCGAATCTCATGTGCCAGTGTCAGGCTGTCAGTTTCCTGGAAGCTGATCTGCTTGACCCTCATACGTCGAACCCGACTGGAGAATTGATTTTCGATATATATCTCATTTTAACAGATATATTTACCAAAATTACACAAAAATATTTTAAAATACTAAAGAATAAATTTATTCAATAAAATCGCCATTGGCTTCAACCACATCCTCCGGAGACGAATTTGGAATCTCCTGCAACTCCTCTGGACAGTCTCTTTGTTTAAATGCTGGTGAATGCTATCATAATCTTTGCCTTCAGTTCATCTTTTGTGTTACAAAGAGTTATGTTGATCTCTCACTCAACTGCACCCCACACATATTAATTAAGTGGGTTGCAGTCTGAGTAGTTAGGTGATCAGATGTAATAGGGTGGTGTGGTCGCAGAAATTGTCTGACAGCCATGGCTGGGTTCTCCTGTTGCCAGACATAGGGTCTTCTGGAAGCTATCCTCTTGTGAGCACTACTTTTTCAAGGCACTTGATGTATGTTTCCGTGTTGAGTCTTGGGACCTGTGGGAAGATGAATGGATGCATAACGTCGCCATCATTAGTGATCAGTCCAAACACTATGATGTTGACTTGATATTTTATCCAACTCATTCTGAATCCTCTGCACTGTCCTTGGATTGACAGCCAAACACCCTGAATTGTTCATATTGGAGCTTCCAGTATGAATGCCAAGTAGTACAGAATGTCATTTTCAAATTTCTGGCAGGGTGAATTGCGTCATGATGCTCTTTTTCTCACAGATGGTACCCAACGGACTCTACTGTGCAGTAGACAAAATCAAAAACAACGTGCATGCATGAAATAAAAAATATAAAATGGCGACAATTTACTTATCGCACCCTGTGTGTGTGTGTGTGTGTGTGTGTGTGTGAAGTTAGATAAAGGATCTGCAATGTAATTGATCCTGACTTGGCATCTCAACTTCAGTCTCCTTCTCACCAATGTGACATGGCTTCCCTCTGTCTTTTCTACAAATATTTCATAGCAACAGATCTGACAAGCTTTTTCCCCTGTTTCCGGTCTATGTGAGTTTAAACATGCTACTAGATTGGCAACTAGGTCCCACCCTTTTACTGTTGAATTAGTTAAATGTAACTGCCACTTCTACTCCAACAGTTTCTTTTCTCACACTTCCCACCTGCAAAACTCTGTAGTTATCAGGGAAGCAAGGAAATAGAACAATCTTCAAAAATTTAAATGTAACACCAGTCACTATCTTCTATCTTCTTAAAATCTATTCAGCTTTTATCCTTTCTTCGGTTCCCCTTAATTAGTCTTTTCTCCCACTTTCACTCTCTGTAACCCCCTGCATAACAGTGGCATTCCTGCCTTGCTTGAGGTGCAATGATAAAAAAAAAAAAAAATACACTAGAAAGCAAGACAAACTAAAACAAGTGTTGCACATAAATAAACAAACACAAATATGGAAAAGTTTGAGAATTGCGAGAAAAAATAAAAATACAAATCAGGATTTTAAGCCTAAAATACTTGGAGATTATGAAGTTATTATCTATAATAAACAATAAAAAAAAATCCATCCTACATTTTAACAGTAGTAACATCTGAATCAATATTAATATTTTCATTTTCCTCAAATGACTAAGTTAGCATTATTAAAAGACAAAAGAAATAAAACTATTTCTATGTGCCATGTCCCTTCAGAATGTGAACAATCATGGCTGTCCTTTGGAGCTCTTAGCAAATCTTTTTTTTTTTTTATCTCTCCTAATCCCAGTTCTGTCAAACATTTACACAATCTTGTGAAGTAGTTTATTTTCTGCTTTCTTTTGGCCATTTTGCCTTCAATATGCCATGTGACTGTCAAATTTCCTAAGTTTTCTTTCCTGTTTATGTGCCCTAAAAATTTCAATTTTCTATTTCTAAGGATAAGTATCCTTTTTGTTTCCATTTTCTCTAAAACTTCATTGTAGGTAGACATGTTCATGGCATGCTCAGTATCTTTATGTAGAACTACATTTCTTTTGCTTCAAGTCTCATGTTCATCTGAAGAAATTGTCCCACATTCAGGACCGATACTACATAACAGTTTAGTACTTTTTTCTTTGTATATAATAAGATTTTCCTGTTTCTCAATATTTTGCTATTCCAGTATACCTTCAGAGTTTAGTGTTGCATTTTTCCGTCCTCTGTTGAAACACTTCCAAGATGTCGATATTTTTGTACTTGATTGATTAAGTGTTTGCTAGTAAATCTTACAAATAACAAAACTACTGAAATCTAACACCTAACAACTGCTGTTGTTTTTCAGTTTGCTATGTCATCTTATTGAATACTAAATCGACTTAAAAAAAAAAAAAAAAAAATATTTTTAGAATCAAATTTGAGCATTTATTGAATAAATAGCCAGACTTACTTTGAGAAAAATGCTGCCTTTTGGATCACAATCCCCCTGCCGTTTATAAAATATCAGATTGCTGTCTCGGTGCAAAACAACCCATACCTTCTTCCAGCCACCTTCCAAGAAGCTTTCTGAAAAATTTAAAAAAAAAACAAAAAAACATCAGAATATTCAATAAGAAATGATCGGAATTAAATTGGCAAAAAATACCTCTTCTGTCCCATAATAGTTGTTATATCTCATACATGCAAACAACAACTCTTATAGGACAGCATTATTAATTGCTAATTATAATAAATTTAGGAGTTATTGCCCTTAATTTTGAAATAAATCATCATTGTCTTACAAGTTATTTGACTTACAGCCAACTTTATCTTATTATCTTAATCTTCTTCTGGTGGAAAGTTCATTTTGGAGTTTCTTTTCTCTCCTAAATAATATTCTAGATTTGAGTATCAAAGATTCCTGCAGGCAGAAGTAATTTAGTAGTCGGTCTGGAAAAAAATATCAGCTCCATGTAGATGGTTGCTAATGCTGTTCATGATGACGGTCGTCTTCGAGTATAGAATCCAGAGGTTAGCAGTGAATATTTCAAAGACAGTAGGAAAGCGTTGTTCAGGTTAGCAGTGGATATTTTGGTAAAAGTAGCAGAGCGTAGTTTGTCCTTCTGTTTCTTCTTTGCCTGACAAGCTGGATTGGACATTTGGGTAGAGTAGACAAAAATGGCCGCCTTTATACACGACGGATTGAATATTCTATGTCTTCTGATTGGTTAACCTTCTATTGGTGGACTATAAAGTGAGTCAAGTCATCTGGGCTAACTCACTAGTACATAACATACACAAAAAACTGCAACTGCTAATTCTCATAGTACATACACAAAACACTGACAATATAATTTCTTAAATATGGAAGATTCTAGATTTGAGTATCTGTAGAGTATCTCATTTTAATTAATTTTCTGTTTGATTTAGTGTAAAATATTTAAAGTTGTTTCTTTTAAATCCCAACTCTTAATTTAAAATTTCATTGAATATAATTTAAGGAAATATATTTAAAAAATATGAATTCAAGAGATTAAATTCTATTTTCCATTTATTTTTTTTCTTTCCCAGGGTTCCATTGCTTATGTCTCCCAGGAAGCCTGGATCCAGAATGTAACACTGAAAAATAACATCCTTTTTGGCAAAGATGAAGATTCCTTTTTATATGATTCTGTAATTGAAGCCTGTGCTTTGAAGTTTGATCTTGAACTCTTTGAAGAGGGAGATCAAACTGAAATTGGAGAAAAGGTTAAAAAACATCCAATATTTTTATTTCTTAGATATGAAAGGTCCTTACAGTTCATTTTTTCTTTAATGAGCAAAGGTCATTACACAACCTTGAAGTCTATACTAACAAACTTTCTATATGTAAGAAATAACACAGTCCATTTGTTTTTATTCATGTACTTGAAGAGTTAGCATATGTGTAGTTTACATGTAGTTAAGATTTCTTTTTTTTCAGCCTGACTAATGGCTTGCCTTTGTCTGTGGCCAAAATGTTAAAAAAATACACAGATGAGAAATGTACTTTGTTGGTCGGAATGGAGAAAAACCCAAAACAATTTTTGAAGTAAATCAATGGGGAAATCCATAATGATTTAATAACATTGATCTCTCTATTTGTCATGAGAGAGAAAAACAGAAAGAGAGAAGCTTGCTTCCACCCTATCATCACCAGTTTTAATCTCTTCCTCTAAAAGTGGAGTGGATGTTACTTTTTGATGCGATCATATTATTCCAGATTTCATTTTATTTATTTTTCTTTCTCTTTTGTTATAATAGGTAATAAGTCAGATATTTTTACATGCAAATTTCAGCTATATAAAGGGTGTTCCAATAACTTGGACCGACTGTCTATATTTCTGAGATGAGGTATGTACACTATTTACATTATTGTCCTCATCTTTGTCGCCATATTTATTACAACATTTCGGCCATTGTACACTCTGGCCGTCTTCATAAAGGAGTTGGTTAGATCTACTGACAGGACCCAAAGAGTGTGAGTTTAATACCCGGTTAAGGCAGTGGAGAACTTTCAGAGGGGAATTAACAGGAGATAACTGATAACTGACATCCATTAAACATGGCATGTGGAACTAGAACAGTCTACCCCAGTCAGCGAAATAAAGGGTTCAGTTCAACATTCCAACCACTTGAAGAAGGCCAGAGCGTACAACGGCCGAAATGTTGTAATAAATATGGTGACAAAGATGAGGACAATAGTCCAAATAATGTAAATAGTGAACTTGAACTGAATTTTAACTGTGAATTAAGTTTAAGCATCTAATGATTTTTTTCTTTCAGATTTAACAACTTACGTCTTTGGCAATTTCAACTATGGAATGATTAACACTCAAACCTGTTAAAGTTATCAAATCCTATTACAAAAATGAATGTTCAAACAGAAATGCATTTCGCACACTTTGTGAGTTTTTTGGTCAACATAATCGACCAACCAAGAGTGGAATTAAAAATGAAGTCATGTTTTTGTGGAGAGGTTCAATTCTTGCATGCGATGACGAATAGGGGTGTCTGGATTTTCAGGCCACATATGTGTGCACTGCAGCAATGTTTTCAGATGAACAGCATAAATGAGCATGGAATGGTGTTTTCACATCTGCCACCAACCCAGTTTGTTTGGATTTACGAACAATTTTTCCAATTTCACTCTTGAAACTTTAACACATTGTTAATCTTTTCATGGTTGAAATTGCCAAAGACTTAAGTTGTTAAATCTGAAAGAAAAAGAAAAAAAAAAAAATCATTGGACGCTTAAACTTAATTCACATTTAAAACGGGACCAAGTTATTGGAACACCCTTTATGTATATTTTAGCATCTCGCTACCACCAAATCAAATTTTCCCGCCAAAAATTAAAAATGCTTCCAGGAGCCTACTACATAATTTCGTTGATTATAAATATCAGACACAAGTTCGTTTCTACACCTTTTCTACTCTACTCTTTGTGATACGAAAATGTAGCCATAAAAGAAATCGTTCTGACCCCTTGTGGGTGGACACTATGAAAACATTGACACACGCACATCGACAGGTATGTACGAAACTTTCCAAACTTCATTACAAACAAACATATACAATCTTTCAGCTAATCAACACATATGTGAACTTTCAACTTTTTCACAGAGAGACAAAAGAAAAGTCAACCAATGTCATTGCCACACCCAAGAAAATTACCTTGGATATTACATTATTTTCCACTTAGTCACCAGCAAAAAATTTACTTTGAAGAAAAAGATTTTTCCTGAAGCTACAAGTTTACCAAACACATTTTCAGCTATTCAGGACATAATTCAAGAACATTCTCACTCAGCTTTATTTGAAAAAAATTTGCATCTTGATGAATGTTTCTTTTAGTGGCACAATTCATTTTAATTATTTTTCAGAAGTACAAAACTAAATTCTATTTAGTACCAAACACACTTCTTGAAACATCAAGTAAATATTCAAAGTTCCATTCTCGCAGTGAACATTTTGAGCAGCAAATTCATTCAACTTTTTATGAGCTCAGATAAAGAAATATTTCATTAATAAAAACATAAATATGCAGCCAAAGGAACATGACGCCAACAAAAATAGTAACCACTATGCATGTACATCATTACAGATATAAATATAATAATCTTTGTTGGTTATAAAACTGTTTCATGTTGTTTCTCTTGTTGCTTATGCATTTTGCTTACACATTCATAAGGTAAAAAATGTACAGGTTGGTTTAGGCCGTCAATACCACTATATATATATATATATATATATATATATATATAGTTTATGCAAATTTAGGTAATCCGTATGGGTAGACCTGAGGAGGATGACATCCAGAGAGCTCAATGTAAAATTCAGAGCAGATATGTTTGAATAAAAGACAGACCATGTTAAGATTCCATGTAATAAGCCATTTCACCATAACCCCTTTAACAGGGTTCTGGATCATCAGACTTTAAGTAAAAGTCTGATGATCCAGAACCCTGTTAAAGGGGTTATGGTGAAATGGCTTATTACATGGAATCTTAACGTGGTCTGTCTTTTATTCAAATATATATATATATATATATAGATAGATAGATAGATAGATAGAGAGAGAAAGAGAGATAGAAAGAAGACCGAGATAGAGAAAGATTAACTAGATAGATAGTGTATTGGGGAAGCAGATCATTATTTAAACATATATTGTTAAATATAATAGACAATGAATGTCTATTATATTTCTGATCATGTGCCTTTCTAAACTCTGTATATTTTGCTTTAATTTCGGGGGAAAATAAAGACAAAAATTGTTCAAAATTTGGATATTTTTTTAAAACTGTTCCTTGATCTAAGCTTTTGGCTCACATGAGCCATCTTCAGAGTAGTCATGCAGACATTTAAACAAAGATATTCATCATCAAAGATGACATTTTGTTGAGATAGAAGATCGCTATGTGACAATAATGGTTGCAGAATAGCAGATGAAGGTTGTAAATTCATGATGTGGTTCTATGACGTCGTACCACACCAGAGAACAAAATATTAATAACAGAACCATATGTTTAGATGCAATGGAATGTATTATGATTAGTTTGAAATGTAATTTTGTTGAGTGTGGATTGTTTTAATGTAGATGGCCTCCAATATCTGAAGATTCTTTTTACTGTGTGTATGTGTGAGTATTGTTGTATTATCAACTAATATCTGTCTAATATTATGTACATGGCTATGTTTTTCTAAGAAATGTTTAATAGAACTAAGATGGGAAAAGTGACAGGTAAGTCTACAGGAGAGTGTGGTTGTAGTAAAACCAATATATGTAGTGGGTTTATCATTAGTAGAGATACAATCTCTGAATGGGCATATAAATTGATACACTACATTGGTTTTTTGTAGAGGATTTAGTTGTGTGGTTGTAGGGTTATTAGAAACTATCGGGTCAATTGTTTAAAATTTTTTTATAATATATGATGAGCTTAACTTGCTTATTATTATCATTATTAATGGATTTAACACTTCTACCTATTATGTTTTTAAGTGTTGTTTCATCAAATTTGTAATTATGCATTTTATTACAATAGTTAATAGTGTTATGTTTATTT